TCAACTATTATTCTTTTTTAAAATTTCAAATATTGAAAAATTTCAAGAAGTAATCTTTAATTGCACAGTATGGCGCATTAGATTTGTAAAATCTTTGACCACATTTATTTATTTGTTATGCCGAATGTAACCGTGTATTTAGATTTTTAATTTTGGGTCCAGTTTTCAAATTGGTCTACATTAAGGTCCAAAGGGTCCAAAATTAAACTTTGTTTTATTTTAACAAAAATTGAATATATGGGGTTCTTTGATATGCTGAATCTAAACATGTATTTAGATTTTTGATTTTTGGCCCAGTTTTCAAGTTGGTCCAAATTGGGGTCCAAAATTAAACTTTGTTTGATTTCAACAAAATTGAATATATGGGGTTCTTTGATATGCTGAATCTAACCATGTATTTAGATTTTTTATTTGTGGACCCCACTATCAAATTGGTTCATATTGAGGTCAAAAGGGTCCAAAATTAAACTTTGTTTGATTTCATCAAAAATTGAATTATTGGGGTTCTTTGATATGCCAAATCTAACCGTGTATTTAGAATTTTAATTTTGGGTCCCGTTTTTTAAATTGGTCTACATTAAGGTTCAAAGGGTCCAAAATTAAACTAAGTTTGATTTTAACAAAAATTGAATTTTTGGGGTTCTTTGATATGCTGAATCTAAACATGAGTTTAGATTTTTGATTATGGGCCCAGTTTTCAAGTTTGTCCAAGTTGGGGTCCAAAATCAAACTTTGTTTGATTTCAACAAAAATTGAATATATGGGGTTCTTTGATATGCTGAATCTAAACAGGCATTTAGATTTTAGATTTTTGGCCCAGTTTTCAAGTTGGTCCAAATTGGGGTCCAAAATTAAACTTTGTTTGATTTCAACAAAAATTGAATATATGGGGTTCTTTGATATGCTGAATCTTACCATGTATTTAGATTTTTTTCTGTGGGCCCGCTATCAAATTGGTTCATATTGAGGTCAAAAGGGTCCAAAATTAAACTTTGTTTGATTTCATCAAAAATTGAATTTTTGGGGTTCTTTGATATGCCAAATCTAACCGTGTTTTTAGATTTTTAATTTTGGGTCCCGTTTTTTAAATTGGTCTTCATTAAGGTCCAAAGGGTCCAAAATTAAACTTAGTTTGATTTTAACAAAAATTGAATTCTTGGAGTACTTTGATATGCTGAATCTAAACATGTGTTTAGATTATTGATTATGGGACCAGTTTTCAAGTTTGTCCAAGTTGGGGTCCAAAATTAAACTTTGTTTGATTTCAACAAAAATTGAATATATGGGGTTCTTTGATATGCTGAATCTAACCATGTATTATGATTTTTGACATTGGACCATAATAGGTAAATTAAAAAAATTGAAGTTCTTAGACCACATTCTTTCTGTGTCAGAAACCTATGCTGTGTCAAATATTTAATCACAATCCAAATTCAGAGCTGTATCAAGCTTGAATGTTGTGTCCATACTTGCCCCAACTGTTCAGGGTTCGACCTCTGCGGTCGTATCAAGCTGCGCCCAGCGAAGCATTTTATTTTTCTTGTTCTGCTACATCTATCCGTGTTTCTGTGGACATGTCGATATATTTTATCTAACTCTAGTTTTTTGTCGAGCCTTCGACTTTAGTCGAAAAAGCGAGACATAGCGATCCTACATTCCGTCGTCGGCGTCGTCGGCGGCGTCGTCGGCGGCGGCGGCGTCCACAAATATTCACTCTGTGGTTAAAGTTTTTGAAGTTTTAATAACTTTCTTAAACTATCCTGGATTTCTACCAAACTTGGACAGAAGCTTGTTTATGATCACAAGATAGTATCCAGAAATAAATTTTGTAAAAAAAAATCTATTTTTTCCGTATTTTACTTATAAATTGACTTAGTTTTTCTGTTAGGAAACAATACATTCACTCTGTGGTTAAAGTTTTTAAGATTTCAATAACTTTCTTAAACTATCCTGGATATGAACTAAACTTGGACAGAAGCTTGCTTATGATCAAAAGCTTGTATCTCGAAGGAAATTTTGTCAAAATTTTGTACCTGTTTATCCGTATTTTACTTATAAATGGACTTAGTTTTTCTTCCAGTCAACATTACATACAGTATGCAGTTAAAGTTTTTTAAAACATTTATTAGATCCATAAACTATCCTAGATTTATACCAAACTTGGACAGAAGCTTCTTACAATCAAAAGATAGTATCGAGAGGAATATTTTTATTGATTTTTTTTCTCATTTTTGTTGAGCCTGCGATTAACAGCAAAAGTAGGCGAGACACTGGGTTCCGTGGAACCCTTACGAATTTTTTTATCAGATGACAAATGAGAGTGTGGATAACCTTTGATGTAGAATAAGAGTTCGAGTTCCAGCTAAATTTAGAGTTTTATTTTTTGTTCGAATGTTAATTCGAGTAAGAGTTCTAGTTAAAGCTCGAGTTCCACTTAGAAACTTCCGAGTTATACTGTAAGATAGAATAAATTCTGGTAAGAGTTAAAATTTTGAGATCTGAGATCCGATGAAATTAAAAGAAAGATTGCAGTTTCTAATTTCTGTTGGTGCACCTCTCTTTCTTGAATTATATATTCTTTTATCACATTTATGTTTCAGTATGGTATAGCCTATATACTTTTTTTTGCCAAAACTGATTAATGATAGGTACATGTAATTGGAAAATAACTGATTGATTGTGTGTGCCACTTTCAGCACTCTGCTATATCATGTTGGCCATTTTTTTTTAAAGAACCAAGGTATCAAGAGTAAATCAGCTACCTCTGTATTAAACAAATGGTTGTCCTTTACAGTCATGATCGGAATCTGACAATCTCCCTATATCACTGTTTGTTGACATGCAAGTGATCACATTGAGTGATCTGAACACGAACCAACATCTGAACTACTAGTTTTTGTTTTGTTTTTGTTTTCGTTTTTTTCTTGATTTTTGCAAAACTTTCAGTGGCAAATATTACATGAATATCAGCACAAATTTTTTTTCTATATGAGATGAATACTCTTTCACAAGACGGACCTTAATGTGATGGTTACAGATTAGCACTCTGAAAGACATGTTACTCTACATAAATACATGTGTGTGTATTAAATATTTCTCTTGTTGGAGTCTTGTAAAGCCAAATATACAGTGTGGATTTTTTGTTGTTGTTGTTGTAGGCAGTACGGTCATCAATAGTACAATAATAACTAGGCATAGTGTTTGATATTCCCAGATTGCTCTGACGTCTAGCGGCCTTATTTTTTAACTTGCTGGTCGTACAGTTCGCTATAATTGACAGTTTGAAGAAATACTACAAAATATGATTTTTTTTTGTGCCCAAATTATGTAAGCCTGTACAAAGCATTAAAGGAAGATTGAGTATAATGTACTATATAATACGGTGGTAAATTTTCTTTGATTTCGACAGACAGCAACCGATGTAAAATTTTGTATGCTTCTTTTACAGTGATGTTTAACTGGCGTTATTCTTATATAACGTTTGATATTTCAACAAATATGATTACTCTACAAATCACTCGTGTTCATGTGTTTGTGCCCTCATACTCCCCTTCCCCCCCAAAAAAAAAGAAACAGAGAGAGAGAGAGAGAGAGAGAGAGAGAGAGAGAGATTTGACACCAAAGGAACATCAAAACTCATTGTTCTTATTTACATCCCTCTGTTGGACAGAAAACTACAAATTCCGGAAGCTGTACGCTTACATGCTGTTACTTTTGGTATATTGTTATTTTTTCCAGTATATTCCAACATAACGCATCGCGACGATACGCTGCCAACAGTTGGGTTACACTAATGAAAGGACAATTGCCCGTATTGACCGGATGAGATATAAATAGTCAGAACTTTTTTGTTATTTGATAGATTATTTTAATATTTGAAGACCTTAGAAATATTAGACTATATTTTATGAATATTTAACAAAAAAAAGTTGACCGGACGGATTTCACACTCACTGATGTACGCTTTACAATATTGAACTGATCGACAAAAAGTGTTACTAGTAATATTTACAATATTTTTTCATACAACTAAGAAATCTGCGATATTAATAGTTATCTTACATGAAAATTTAAACTTCATAGTAAAACAAAATGTTTTTCTAAAAAAAGACGTTGACCGGACGGATTTCACATTCGCCGATGTACGCTTTGATTATACTGAAATGATCGACAAAAAGTGTTATAAATATCTCTTTTGTTTTTAAATATTTTTTTTCTTCGTGAAACTAAGAAATCTGCGAGATCAATAAATATGTTAATATAAGAAAATATAAACTTTCCAGTAAATAAAAAAAGTTTTTCTACAAAAAAAAGTTGAGCTGACGGATTTCGCTACAAATAATAAAGACCAGATCAACAAAAAATGTTGATATTTCTCATATCTAACAATATTTTTCGGTGAAATTAATAAACCTTTAAGAAAAATAATTGTATAAATGGTATTGTATGTAAATACTAACTCAATAATAATAATAATAATAATAATAATAATAATATCTTTATTTAAAGAGAGTAACTCATTTGAATTAAACCCAATCGTAAGGTAATTCAAGACCATATCAAGACCACTTTCGGCTATTTTTTTGCCATACATTTTGTCCGTTTCGAGTAGCATTTTCATTTTTTGCACTTAAATCAAAACGTCATTTGCTTTCTTTTGATTTAGTGACCGTCCCTTTGAGCGGGCCGCCATTTTAGAAATTAGCAACCTTTACGACGAACTCGAAACGGCGACGTCATAATACGGTCAAGACACTATAGTGGCGCCGAGAGCGATGCGTATAAACAATAGTGTGATTTCCCTTTAACTTGAAAACGGATACGAAGGGAAGATAGAAAATGGAGAATCAAATCTCATAAATCGACAAACCCCACCCCCTATATATATAGCTAAAAAAAACAATGACAACAATTTTAAATCGTCGAAAAGACAAACACAACACTACCACAGATAGAGTTATGTATACCTCATATGACGTTCATCTAGAAAAGACTATTTAATACAAAAAAGTTAATTTCTGCTTCCCAATTGTGAACGTTTTATTTCTTGCAAGGAATATATTCAAGCAGCATCTATATATTCGGTAAATAATTCCCAGTTGAAACGACATTCAAGACTTTCCATTCAATATGTTTTAATAGAAATACGCTGCTAACAGAAAAGCCGTCGCATCAAGACAGTTATTACGAGTTAGGTGGCCATCATGGAATGTCTTCGTCTCAGATTATCACTGATATATTTCAATTGCGTTTCCACAGGCGTCAACACAATCATCCTTTTGTTTTAATTTGACATTAACGCATAAGACTTATCACCGATTGTGTACCTACAGTAAACAACATGCTGGGTGACATATGTAGTGTAGGATCTGCTCATCCGTTTGGCACACCTGATTTATCCCCCTTTTTTGACAGTATTTCTGTTGCTCAATCTCTTTTTTGTGTATTATTTTATTGACTTGTTTTTGTCGTTTTTCTGGTTTTTTTACCATTGCGTTTATCTTCGACTTATGATAATTGATTGTAGCCTTGGGATCGTCATTTGTTATGTTATGGTTATACCAATTTTCTTTTAATTAACTAAATTAGAGGAATTTTTGAAACTTGTACTTTCGCGTGTATGTTAGATAGGTTTGTATGTTTGTTTGAAGTTTTAAGTCAGTTGTGCTGCATTTCTGTGATGTATGTTTATACAGTTTTGGCTGACACTTGGTTATCTATCATAGAGTTTATTCTGAAATGAAATAGAATTCACATTTTAAATTAGATTTGTTTTTTTCTTCCTGTGTATCTATATAAAAATTAGCAAAGAAGAAAAAAAAGATAAGAATTTTAAAGTGACAAAGTTTATGAAAATCATACCATAGTCATATAAATTCAAGTATTTATTTTTGGAATAGGAATGAAAATTGCTCTATAGAGTAGCTAAATTGATCTGCTACACATATGTTGCTTTGATCTGTTGATATCTAACCCATATAATCTAGATACATGTTTACTTACTCTTAAATGTTAACCAAGTTTATTTTCTGATTTGATAATGTCTATATTGATCAAATACACAAGACGAGAAGAAACCAAAAGAAAGAGAAAAGAAATTCTTACGAATCGGTAGGGTTCGGTTATTATGCTTACAAAACGTTTATTATTTTTTTTAATGCATATATCCTAAATTACAGTTTAATTAGTCAAAACAGAAAAGACTGTGTAAACAATATTCTCAAAATATATTTTTCTAAATTATCATATTTATTATGTGTCTCCCTTGAATATATAACCTTTATAGACTTAGCTACGGTAATGATATGGTACGCAGCCTAGCGAAATTCAGATTAGGGTTACGAATCTGAGCAGGTTTATTATATCTCGTTATTTTCCTAGCAGTAGCCAATGACTCTACATACCATCTTGAAAGGAACAATGTAATGAATGCTTGTCTTTCCAGACCACCGGAGACCACCCTGGTTTTTGATTGGATTCCTGTTGGTCAGTCTTTAGTTTTCCCTGATGTGATTTGTATACTATTGTTTGTATTTCAATAGTTTTCTTTTTTTTGACAAGGTGTTATCAGTTCGTTTTCGACTGATGAGTCTGAATGTTCCGTTGGAATTTTTCGCCTGTCTTTTTCAAAACACTAGTTGGATTATAACAAAACTTGCGAAAACAATGACCATACAGGTTCGTCCTTACTGTTTTAAATAATTTTGTTTACAATGGAAATAATTTTTTAATGATAAATTTGTTAAGCTGTTGAATTGGCAGTAATTAAACAAGGGATAATCTATTTAGCTAAATTTATTTTGCGTTGAGGGTTTGCAGTTTGTTTTTAATTGAATCTGACATATACAAAATGCATTTGCCAATTTTTTTATTTATTTTTCTGGTAATGGGAAATAATCCAATCGGCACCATATTCCCACGCCCATTAAACTATCCATTATACGTCTGATACTTACGTTAAGTATCATGTTTGTATCAAATCTATTTAGTATGAACTTTGCAAACCAATAGTATTCGAAAGAAATCACACCAAATTGGAGATAACGGGTCAAATTATATAAAATCTGACATTTAAATGTTAACAAATTGAAACAGGGGCAATCATTCAATTATTTTGGCAGATGTATAACTCAAGAATTTACCAAACAAAGATATGTATGTACACATGACATCTGTATATTTTTCTAAACATTTTAACACATTTTTCTTTGAATTACATATTCAAATTATTCAACAGTATGGACAAAGATAAACTAGTGTTTCCTTTTATTTAACACTCAATACTGATTAGTCATACTCTTAGAAGCTTTTGTACCACGAAAAAAAGCTGCTATATTAAAGCTCGTGTGCCATGTAAAAAATGCTGCTATATTGCAAATGATTTAACTTTCACTGACCTAAACTATTCTGTATACGCTGAAGACTTGATAGTTCTTCCTTGTATCTTTCTCCTCCCAAATGAAATACTGCCTAAAATATTATAATAACGTAAAATTTTAAATAGATAAAACTTCTTTCGGACGAAAGATTACAGAACAATCTTCCTTTTTCTCAATAATATTTACGGTTCCAATTTTCTTCATCAGATGAGGATTTCGACAAAGTATTAAAAATACTTATGCAAACATTTAAGTACAGATAAATCCAAAATAAACCTACAGCTTAGACAAATTCTGACGACACAAAATCTGAGCTTTGTCTGAGGGAGATATATATTCTTTAATTTAATATGAATTCCCACAGAAGGTCCGGTAAGCGTTATTTTTTTGCACCAAAATTTGAAAGAGATCGAATGAAAGATTTTTTTTACATTTTTTAAACACTTTATTTAATATAATTGGTGTATTAAAAAGAGTAGAACTGATTTGGTCATTAAAACTCTCAAATTCAAGCTTATATATGGAAATTCTAACAAGTATGCCATAAAACTTCACTTTTCAGACGGTTTATGTCTAAAATGTAAGTTGCCGCATTCATGTTCAGTCTCAACCTTTATACATGTCATGTATTATCTTTAAATACAATATGTATTTAAATATTAAGACCAAACACAAGAGTGGCCACTTCTATTGTAGACGAAACCCGTCCAATAATTAGCACACATGCTAAATTGTAAAGTTTCAATAATGTTGAATGAATCATGATGCTAATACCTGAAGCATGTGCATTGTATTGTCAAAAACAGCCTTTATTTAATTAGCACAAGTATTCGACTTTCCAATAAATAACTTAAAGTTTACTGTTTTACAAGATTAGTAAAAATGCTATATTTTGGGGCCAAAAAAGGATCTTACCGGGACTACCCCTTTAATAAAGGCAAATCTCAATTAAAAAAAGTATAATTTAATTTACAAAGTATATTTTCTAAAGTCATCTTATGATATCTTTCGTTGATTGGATACAATTTTTAAATTCAAGCAAACGGATAATTGAATAAACTATCAATTCATAATATATAACAATTTCTCATAAATCTAATTTTGTAAATTTAAACCTTTGCCGAAACATTTAAACAGTTAAATGAAAGGCATTGCCATCATTTTCATTTTTTACACTACAAGATACAAGAAAATTTCTATCCTATTTAAAATATATAGAATGTGTGTAAAAAGAGTCTTCGACATACCTTACAAATGCGTTGCATGATGTCCTGAAACTGTTTTTCATTTAAGATTCCGCTGCTGCTTTGTACAGTTCCTCTTCTTATGTCATTGATGACATCTAATTGTTCGAAATAATCTTTCTTTTCTTCTTCGTTTGTGTTTTCTTTTAAAATGTAGATCATCAATTTCAGATCTACGATCTTTGATTCTTCCTCTTAAGATAGAAAACATGTTATGACATAATAATTCCCAATGAATTTACTTATAATATACTAGTAGTTGGTAAAAGCTTTATCTTTTAATTTAAAGTGTACTTTGTAGAATTTGGAATTAAATAAAGGTTATTATTTACAATTCTACAATTTGTTATCTGTTTAACATATCCACTGTTAAAGATAGTAATTTAAGATTTTGTGGTTTAAGTAAGTGTAATACCATGAGGACTCAGCATGCATTCAAAGAACACGATTCTTCCTTTTTTGAAAAAAATTCTTCAATCCTATGATAAAATTTTTGATAACTTAGCATTACCTGTAATGGTTTTCATTAAAAAGTAAAATAACAAAAAAAAAATGAACTCCAAGGAAAATTCAAAACGGAAAGTCCCTTATCAAATGACAAAATCAAAAGCACAACCATATCAAATGAATGGAAAAACTGCGTTATTCTAGACTTGGTCAAGAATTTCCTTTTTTAGAAAATGGTGGATTAAACCTATTTTATAGCTAGCTAAAAATGTATGTTAAACATGGTGATTTATGGACTGCTGTTTATCTTTTCATCTTTCTTTCTGTTTCTGTCTACTTATTTTGTTTGATTGCCCTTGTTATCTTTACCCCTTTGGAAAAATAAACTTGAAAAGGTATTTGTTTACTATATTCTAATTTAATTCTGTAATCTTATGATATAATTTTACAAATATAGTTGAAACGTATACATTCATGTTTTCATACTCTGTATGTACAAAAATATCAGCCGCTCTGTACTTACATGGCATTTGCAAAGGATTTTAGAATACTGAATCTTTACTTGGTTTCTCATACAAACAACACACTCTTATGGAAGATTCATTTACAAAGGCATGTATTACAATGACGACCTTGAGTGTGGTAAAGATAATAAACTCACTTCGCGGTGAAAAAAGCTGTTTTTGTTGTTTCTGTGAAAGGTACATTCTTTTTCTTTGACCTCTTTGTTCATCATAATTCGGAGATTTACAACGCTGTTCGACGATATCTCTACGGATTGCATTTAACATGTGATGACGACAGTGTGTATTAAATTCATTTAAAACTATAGGATATACTATTTTGGATAGTCCAGAAGTGATATCTGTGAAATTTCTACTGCAACAGATAACAACACAACTTCAATTTACATTTCGATTTATTAAAAAGATTAATGTTATAAAAAAAATGTCCATACCATATCATATCATATCATATCATATGATTGTATATGAGAGCATCTTACACTTCCACGAGTTGAAAATTTAACTTAAATAAAGGAAAGTTTTTAATCAGGGGCTTTCTCATGAAAACCAATCATGTGGTTAGGAAGTGTTTTTTTTTAACACTGAAGATCATATCAATAGAGCACATTATTTGTGATATCTTTGTGTGTCTGCTAATATGGATATATATTGCTGTTGCATATATTAAATATATCATTTCTAAGTGGTGATGTTTCTTTGTTGCTTAGCTACTTCTTACAATTTAACATGATTCGATATCATTCCAGATATAAATGAGATGCGGAGTAAACAAAAAGTACGAACAACCAAAGAATTGCAAGAGTTCAACACACCATAATTAACAATAAACAGGTGTCCATTCAATATGTCTAGCTCTTCACAGGTTTAAATAAGTTGTGCATATTTAAAACTATTATGATTCATTGGATTAAACCAGTCTTTATAGATGACAACGGATATGTTCCAGATGTCGTAACTACAATCCCTTTCACCGAATGTGAACCACAGCGTTTGTACAAACACGAGCAACACGACGGGTGTCACATGTGCAGCAGGATTCTCTTACCCTTTCTATGACGACTAGCAAACGTACTTTATTGACGAAAGTACACTAGGCGAACGTATCCGATACGTCATGTACCACCAACTGTTATTTGTGCATTGCATGATTATAAGTTCGAAGTCATGTATAACGAACCGTATATTTTTGTAAACATAGAGTTAGTTTCGTGTTTTGTTTAACATCTATTGTAGCAAATAAAACAAATGTATTATACTTACCTTCTGTGAGGAAGAGTAAAATCTTGAGGGATCTGTACACTTCTTACACGCAAACCATCTACAATAAATCAATAAATCAATGTGCAAACTTGTATGACTATGCTAACTTAACCATATAAGGCACAACAATAAACAAAAGGCTTTACAAATAAATACATTTTAACTTTGAAACATAACAAGAACAGCAGTTTTGTGAATGACAGTTGTCAAACATTTTAATTTTTTTAATCTATAATGTTGTATTCATGTTCATACCAATATGAAAAGAACATCAGTAAAGACATATCAAATATTCCCCAATATAAACTGAAAGCTGAAATTTATATTATATAATGCATGAACCAATTCGGACTATTTGGACCATATGCTATTGGTTCTTGTCTTTGTCTGAATGTCATTTTCTTTTTGGGGTGTTATTAGATGGTGTGGTTTGCTATTCTCATTAATTGGTTTGCGTGATTTCATTGACTCTTTTTTATGTTTTCTCAAAAAAAGCTAAAAAAAATTCTTGAAGCATTTCAAATGTCTTGTTTACGATGAATAACGAATAACGAATAGGTTTCCAGATCCTCGGAGAAATGCATATTTCTCTTATCCTTAATCATAAGATAATATATACAGAAAGCCGAGATAGTCAAACGTATGTAGCAAATCATTTAAGTTTTTACTATATTCCAAGTGGACAGGTGTGATATGCTATACTATTTTTTTTTATTTGGGTAATGTCATTTACTCATTTTTATGTATTATCATAAAAAAGCCAAAAAGAATTTTATAAGCAATTCAAATGTCTTCTCTTATTTTTAATTGTAAGATACTGTAAACGGAAAACCGAGATAGTCAAACGTATATACCAAATCATTTTAAGTTTTACCACATTCCAAGTAAACAGATATCGATATTAGTTCGAACTTTTCTTTGCAGGTTATTAAAAAGTAAAATAACAAAAGTACCGAACTCCGAGGAAAATTCTAAATGGAAAGTCCCTAAGCAAATCAAAGGCTCAAACACATCACACGAATAGATAACAACTGTAATATTCCTGACTTGGTACAGGCATTTTCTTATGCAGAAGTTGAAATTGATGATACGTTGTCAAACAAAGTAGACCGTTGACTAACTTGTCTTTTTTTATATTTTCCTCAATACTATATGTGTCCTGCGAACCTATTTTCCTTCATCTCTTCTAATAAGAATAAAAAGAATTATGATTGAAAACAATCACGAATGGTCCTCACGCAACTTGACCTTATATGAATTTGGTTATTCTCTAAATGCCCTTTTTGGTCATATATATATCTCCTGGCTTTCAAATGGTAAGATATGAGCATTCTTAGGGAAGTCAAGGCAATAAATGCGCTTCAGTCACACAAAATTTGAAACGGGTTATGCTCATTTACTCTGCACTTGAAGTTTCCAATGAAAAAGCAGCCACTTTTTTTAACATCTTTTAAGTATCAAACCTATCATACTCTTTCTTTTATATGGCACAGTTGGTATTTTCTTAAATTTCACAAAATTTAATTTTTTAGTAGGGGTTTGGTTTACAGTAGCTTTATAAAAAAATAAGTATGTCCACAATATAAATACTCAACATACCTTTATCACGAACAAGCATTTGAAGTGGTGGTTTTGTTGTTGCCTGAAAAAAAGCTGAAATTTAATATTCTATTTGAGTAACAATCTTATTCTCAGTTCAAACTGTTTTTTATGTACGTTACAACACATACTTAAACATTGAAAAGACAACGATTTGTTTTTTCAATTTAAAACTGCATGCAAATCAACTGTCATTTTGTTTGATAATCATTAATAATTAAATGTAGAAATGTCAAACAATTACTCAGATGTCATTGTATACTAATTTAGGAACAATCCTGTAAACAAAGTTCAACTTTGGCAATATCAATAAATGATAATATATTTTAACAGAAATGAATACACACCTTTTGTTTGCGTAAGTGTGTAGACACCCATTCATATACATCATCACATTTCGCTTCAGTTTCATCTGATTGAGACAGGTTAACCGATGAAATACGTCGTAACATATCAGAACGAAATGTTTCATCTTCTATAATTTTCAATAATTCTGTTAACGCTCTTCTTAAAGGATCGACTTCAACTGTACAATTTATAAAATATAAGAACGCATCTTCTTTAATTTTGTTAAGAATACCAACAGGACCCGCGAGATAAACACATTTGAACAAAACAGTGTCGTCAATGTCTGAGTATTTAATTCTACGTCTTACTGAGTACTGTCAGCAACAATCCTTAGTATTTATCTTGCAAAGTATATCATTTTCTTTCAAAAATAGTTTGTTCCATTCTTCTTTGTTAATTAATATTTTCTCAGTTGGAACCGTGCTACACTTACAACACCTTTTTTTGCCCATAGAATGGTATAATGTATGCTGGTTTTCCATTAGAAACTTACAAAATCCATTGGAAAATAATCGACTAACGATATAGTGCATCATATTTTCTGAGTAAAGAAGCAATGTCATGATCACTGACAAATCACTCGTGTTAGTCGTTTTGGGAACAAACCGATCACTGCATTTTGTAAGATCAGATGGACAGGAATTAGAATAACTGATCTTACTAATCTCATACAATGCGTCCCATTGCTTTTCTGGAATACCTTTAATGAAAGTAGAGGATTGCTTCGTACTGCATTTACAGCATGATTCTGTTTTGATCCGTCTATGATAAAGTTCGTGTTTTTCATTTCTGAGTATATCTTCTATCGTTACTTTTTTCAAAGTGCAATATTCAGAAATTAGCTTTCGGAGTATCATAGCTGGATATTTTTCAGACATAACAATAAAAACGCCCAGTTTTTCGTCATCGATATTTATGTGGTTTAACGCAAACAATCTATCTAAAATATATACAATTAGTTAAAAAAAAGCATTCCTATCTAAAACATACTAAAAACGACACTTTTGAGCACAAACGCTGTGAATATTAAAACCTTCAAGTTTTAATAAGTTGATAATATCTTTTTACAATTTTTCTAATGAAGTAAAATGTTTATGAACAGGAGTCAAATTACATAACTAATCAGATGATGACTACACTTTAGAACCACCTGAAGGATTTTTTAACTCAACATTCTTTATGGTTATGCTGTACATTTTGATGTTTAGCAACTTAAAAAAAAACGAGACTCACAAATTTAAAAATATATAATTCACGTTTCTCCTCTCAAGTAATACGATTTCAAAACTGCCAATAAACAATAAATTTTATAAGAAAAATCAATCTGCAATAAAAAGTAACACAGTTCATTAATAAAAAATGATTCAGAGGTAACGCATTATTAATCACTTACTTTCATAGACAAAGATATAAAGAACGGCATATATTCTAGTCGTCATAAAAAAACGATGGTTAAAATGCTATATTGTCTGATTTTTTAATGAAACAAATTTGCCCCAAGGCAAATTACAGATTCATTCATTCATGTAATGCGAAGTGTTTTTTTAAAGGTTTTGATGGGGTGTGTTGGCCCATTCTTTTGTTTTCTATGTAGTTTTGTTCGTTTTGACATTTTCTTGTGATTATGATGTTGTCTATATATGTCCATCTTGTTCAGTATATTATCCACCTTGTTTTTACACATAGATTCATATAACAACGACACATAAAAGTATCGTTTAGAGAAAATCCATTAACTCTTCGTTTTCTGAAAATACTCAAAAGCTATTGTTTTAAAAAAATAAGGTGTAATTTAGCAATGTAAAAAAATGGACTGCAATAAGATTTAGCTGCATTTTATTCTTACCAATCAATCTAAACTGTTCTTGGTCATTGCCAATGTCAAGTGTTTGCAAAGATAACAATTTCAGTACTGCCAATGTGAAAATATATTTTTTTTCATTAAGAACAAAAAAAAACAAAGTACACACATATCATATTCATGGATGCAATACAATAAGTCGTTAAATTCGCTGCACTCTATATTGATGTCATGTTTAATTTTAATATTGTATCTGAGTAAGAATACCAACCAAATAAGTCAAGTATAACTAATTCTTAAGATAACCATCCTTAAACTTTGATTTAGGATATTTGAAGAATTTGGTGTTGACGATAAGTCTGAGTTACACGTTCGTAGCAGTTATCTATAAGAGATGTTATCTCTCCTGCATGTGAAAAATTTAAACATATATTAAGTATATGAAAATGAAATATATAAAACCATCCGAAATAGATATGATAATATAATAACTTAGTGTTGCTCCTTAAAATTAGCAATGAATAGCCACTAAGTGCGCAACACCACATGATCTAATCAGGTCAATATGGGTTTTCTTAAAGTAAACGTCAGGAAGTCCCTTATGCCATAGAAAACATAGATGAACAAAATCTAGAGCTAGCGAGAAAAAAGAATTAATACATTTTTTTTAGAATGAAATTTTAGAAGGCGGTACCTTAAATTTATTCAGAGGAAGGTAAATTTAATGATTGATTCCACAAAGTTTTGTTTTCAAGTACGAAGATAGTTCATTTCATCGAAAGGAGCACAATTCAAAAAATCGTTTGGAAATTGATGACACTATCTTTCCCAAAAAAACTTTGAAGCGAACAAATCCAAAGTACTTACCTGTCCAATATCATCCCAGTTTTGATCGAATTCATTCATGTTATTTTCAAAGCGATTTTCGTCGATTATGCAAGTTGTATCATTTCTGATACATTTTATTCTGGAAAGTATTCCACTGATACTCATATCAGACATAACTGGATATATTGTACCAACTTTGATTTGTGCAAGTGTTTCTAAGAGATGCATCATGAGTTCTATATCAAAATCCTCTGATGACACTAAGGAAGAAATACATACGTTAGAAATAGTAGTAAGTTCATTCTTTCTACTGAAAAGAGTCATAGTGGTCGTTAATAAGCACGTTTTAAGTCGATGCTAAGCACTGCAAGATTTCCAAAATGTGTTTCTAAAAAACTAAAGAAACTTTACTAGCTCTTCTTTATATCTGCATCTGGTATGTAATTAACTACAAACATATTTATTCTTCTGACTTACAATTTTAAGGTCCGCTGTGTTAGATTTTTGATATAAATGAGATGTTGTTAGATTAGCGAAGTTCTTTTCATGATATTTTTTAATCCCGAAAAATTCAAGTTGGTCTTTTTACATAAATCGGTTGATGTTATGTTTGTCAAACGTCTTTTTATTTTGTATTACCAATATGATAAATAAACCTTAATTGCGTATCGAAAGAAATTATTCAACGAATTACAACGATTATGTTGTATGCATAAAACCTTTAGTTGAACATTTTTCTACCCTTATATATATAATTACAGATTTATTCCTGAACTGAAGATAATTGGAAGTTCTCCTGAATATGATGGGTAAATATTTGAATACATCAATACAACAATAGCAACACGAAACAAATATCAAGTCATTTAGTCTTTCTTGGATCGTTTTTCATACCACATGTCACTTTCATTCCCCGAAACAAATTCTTATATTGTTACACCACTGTCCCAGGTTAGGGAGGGAGAGGGGAATGGCGCCAGCAAACATGTTTAACCTCGCCTCATTCTAAATGTGCCGATCTCAAGTCAGGAACCTGTAATTGAGTGGTTGTCGTTTTTACTATATAACATGTATGTTTTCGTTCATTGTTTTGTACATAAATCAGGCCGTTAGTTTTCTCGTTTGAATTGTTTTATATTCTTCATTTCGGAGCACTTTATAGATGACTATGCGGTATCGGTTTTGCTCATTGTTGAAGGCTGTACAGTGACCTATAGGATTGTCTCATTGACACTAATACCTTATTTTCTTATTTTTATATTAAGGGATAAACATACGGTTATTAAATATAAAAAGAGCCTGAACCATATCAAGTTAGGAAGTGCCAAAAAACCAAAATTGCAATAGAATAATGGATAATCTATCGAAACCTGTAAAAAAAATCCCGCTAGGGCATCCATTTTATCATCTACATTGACCTTGCTAATATATTATGTCGTTTTATTTGTACCTGTTTTATGTTTATATAAAAGATCCCACTGATAATCATTCATGATCGTTTCCTTCTTTCTGTATTTGTTTTCCATATTTGTTTTGTTTTTATCAAGTAGTTTTCGTAATTGATCAGGTTGGATCTCACGATCGAATGCCATTCGGACAACTGGACATGCCACTCTGTACAGAAGATGAATCAGTCGTAGAAACTTCATTTCAACTGTTGTTTGTTTTTCTTGAATAATTGATAGTTAAAATCAGAACGTTATCTTAAGATACAAGAATATAAAACTTTTCAAGACAACATCAGAAAGTGCACACGATGTCATAATTTACTGATCATGATTGAGTTTATGTTGAAAGATATTGGGATAAAGGTTGATCATAAGTATCATAAAACATACGATTATTGAATACGTCAAATATAGTTTACCGATTGAAATCAATGTCAGATAACACTGCAAGACTGATATACAAGACTAAAAATAATATATTACAGCAGGTATAGTTTACTTATTGCTTGTATTATCCAAAAAGGGGCGAAACAATCAAAACGTAACATTGACCAATTATCAAAGAAACTGAGGTTTTAAAAGATTCATAAGATCCAAATATCTCACTGTATAGGAGTTTTATATAGTTGTCACAGGTGCTGCAATGTTACGAAAAACATACTTTTTCTATGCGTGTTGTCATATTTTATAAACTTACTGCAGTAAATTATAAGTGATTGCATCAAAATGATTTCGGAATATTGTAGTAGTAATGTATTTAAAACTTCATATACATTTACCAAGTGTTATTAGCTGCTGTGATTCCTTAGCTTCGTCCGTTTTTTCTTTCTCTGTAACATGACCACCATCATAAATATATACTTAAAGATTTCTTTTTTGTCATTGTGATTTGAATAAAATAACAAAAAAAAAAAAACAACATTAAGACAATAATCCTCAGAATTAAAATGAAAAATAATTGTAGAACAAGTTATAGATAATATAAATTGTAAGGTTTTTCTTGCCGTATAACACAGAGAGGGGAGTCAGAATTTACTAAACGAAAGGAAGACCGTTGGATGGTCTACCTTGGGCAATAATGACATCCACTTATTGTTATACCTTTCGTTTTTACGGTAACGTCGTTAATAAAATCAGTACGTTTAGACCAACTCACAACTATACCACATAATAATCTTTAAATCAAAAAGTCCACACGATGTCTTAATTTACTGGTCTAATTGAATTTATGTTTAAATACATTGAGAGATAACCAGTAAACGATTAAAATCAGATTAATGTCAGATAACACTGCAAGACCGACATGAACAATTAAAAAATAATGTAATACAGCTGGTATAGTTTAGCTATTGCTTATAGTATCCGAAAAGGGATGAAACTATGAAAACTTAACGTTGACCAATTAACAATGACAGTGAGTTCACACATGATTGATAAGATAAAAATATTTCACTATCTAGGAGTTTATTTTTTTTGTCCCAAGTGCTCCAAGGTAACGAAAATCATAAATGTTTTTCTATGCATATTGTTATATTTAATAAACTTATATAAGTGAAATATTAATGATTGCATTTTAATGATTACGGACATTGTTATAGTTATGTATTTAAAACTTCATATACATTTACCAAGTGTTATTAGCTGCTGTGATTCCTTAGCTTCGTCTGTTTTTTCTTTCTCTGTAACATGACCACCATCATAAATATATACTTAAAGATTTCTTTTTTGTCATTGTGCTTTGCAAAAATGACAGAAAAAAAACATTAAGGCAATAATCCTCAGAATTAAAATGAAAAATAATTGTAGAACAAGTTATAGATAATATAAATTGTAAGGTTTTTCTTGTCATATAACACAGA